CCCCAAAACCCCAAAACCCCAAAACCCCTTTAGGTTTTGAAGTTATTGAAACTGTTTCGGATTTTATTTCAAATATGATCTGTCCATGTGAAGTATTTAATTTCAACCCTTTGGTGAAGAATTATGAGAGATTTTTAAGACTTTTGGATATATAAACAACTCCAATCCATCATAAAACTAATTACTTCTTCAATTACTACCTTTTCAACAATCATTCTAACACAGCTCTAAAAACTCCCTCTTTCCCTTCTTCTCCTTCTCTCATCGCCTCATCCATCTGTATGCTACCTATAATACCATCACTTTCGTCATAATCCCATCCTTCCTTTACTGAGAGGTAGTCCCTTGGTGCATTATACCATCTAGAGAAGAAGACTTCTCTCTCGTTGTATTTCTCACTTGGATAGGTCAAGTCAAGTGAGAGCCCATTCGGAATTTTGGAAGGAAGAATTTGTTTCTGAGTCAGTAACGAAGACATCAGAGAACCGAAGCCAGACTTGGAGGTTCTTGGTGCTGAGGGGGGCGGGGTTGGGACAGTAGGGGCGAACAGGAAACTGCTAAATTTGGGATAGGAATGAAGCCCAAGTCCTTCTGATGGTCATGATTGGGACAGGATTATGTCCCTTCTAAACCAGTTTACGAGTAGGTCGAAAACATAAGATTTTTTGTACCTGACGCTGAAGAGGAAGGTCTTAGAGTCACCCTTTTTACGTTGGAATATTACTTTTTCGTTACTCTGGTCTATCGTACAATCGATCTTTTTGTTAAACTTGTTTTTGATCACCTTTGGTCCATCCAATACTTCTTTATACTCTTCACTGACCTTATAGAAATCTCTAATATATATCTTCAGAAGTAGGAAGTCCTTTAGTGCATCAATATGTATCTTCTCACTAATATTTCCTGATAACAATTCGAATACTTTCCAAAATCTTTCTCGAACTTTCTCGAAATATTCCTTATCATCAAGGTTGCTTTCTTCTACACTAAAATTGTCTAGACACTCCATTATCTTAATCTTGAGCATCTGATCTTGTAAGTTGTCTAATACTTCAACAAGTTGTTGTCTAAAGGACTTTTTTGGGTCTCTCCAGATTACATCTTTTACTTCCTCAGGAGTCATCTTCACAAGAGGAGGTTTAAGACTGCCGTTCAGTTCGGTATATCTCTTCACTTGGTCTGTTACTTCAATCAAGCTGGTAATTCTCGAATCATAAATTCTCTGCATTTTGTCATCTAAAATATCATAATCTTCAGGTGTGTGGCAATTTTCAAGAGATATTTCTTTTCCTCTTTCTTTCTCCTCAAGAATATACTTTGCAATGAGAGCTCACCACTTTTGTAACCACTTTGGAGCCCCTTCAAGGACGTAGCTTTTAAGGTTGATCTTGTTCAGATTTTCTTGATCTTCCTCAGTCAGATCTTTTTCGCCTGACTCACAAGCAGTCCAGAGGATTTTAAAACCTATGAATGTAGTCATGATGTTTGTCTCTGTAGAAATCGTCTTGATGAGACTCAACATAGTCAATATAGTTCCCTTTTCAAATACTCTCTCCTCATAAGCATGTTGCTTTGCAGCTTTCTTCCTTGTCATCAGTGACTGAAGAATAATCAAAAGTCAATTGGTCACCTTCTTTAATATCCCTCGTAGCATACGCAGCCAGATGATATTTCCCATTACTTATAATCGGAACGATGCCGACATTTGGAATGCAGCTATGGTTCATCCTGGAGCAAAAGTTTCCTTTCTTAGTAGGATCTATCACTATTAAGCCAACTCCATCAGGATCATCTTTGTGGCGGTCGAAATTCATGTTGTAAAAATCGTGATCATCAGCTGGGATTATCCCCAGCTTCTTCGCTTTTTCATTGATCAATATCTCTCTTTTCCATTCAGAAGGAATATAGACTTCACCTAAATATTCTGCGACGAGTTGGTTTTTCATAAGTCCTCCTTTCTTCTTCAGAACTCATCAGACTCCAATGTTAACGAAAGCAAAGTGCTTTGACCTAAACTTTGTTTTTGCTGAATTTTGCATCGAGCCTAAATCTTCCTCACATCGCTTTATGTAATCATAAATCGTTCTTGCGGAATTCCTAAAGTATTCAGGAGCACTTATATCATTTATGACTATTTTAAGTGCTTCTAGGATATCCCAGCCTTTAGGACCACATTTCAGCATCGCAGGTTTTAGTCACTCGTCCATAAATTTCCAGCTTGCAACATTTGTGAGATTTCCTGGGACTAATCTTGCAATTTTGGTATATGTGTCAGTGTTCATTCCCCATGCTATCACATTTCAGTCAACATCTGTTTTTTCAGAGATGGACCGTTTGTTCTGAATTTCTGAATTTTTGCAATTTTTGGAGGCTTTACATCCTCATTCTTTACTGCATTCAATGCCTTGAGACCGTCAAGGTCATCCACATTTGACTCTGACATTCTCGGAATAGTACATAGTGAGTTGGGAATATTTCTGGCATCATTTTCCATTTCATTTGGATGTCTTCCTGGTTGTGAATAAATGATTTTTTTTGGATCATTGATTCCTTCCTTGACACTCATCCTTTTGAATGCTACAGGTTCTGAGAAATTAGTATTCCATTCACCTCTATTATGGGAAAGAACCTCTCTTCCATTATTAGTCCAACGGTCATCGACAATTCTTTGAGCCTCACTATGTAGCTTTTGGACACTTTCCTCATTATTTAAAATGGCGTTCGCCTTTTTGTAAAATGTTGCAATGAGGTTCTTTGGTATCTGTTTATCGTACTGGTCATACTTGCTCCTAATACATGTCTCAATTAACTTCAAGTCATCTCTTATGGTATCTATTGAGAGGTGGAATAACTGATCTCCTCTTAATTTGATATACTCAGGAAGGCCAATGATTAGCTTGTCTCCTACATAATGTGAGATTTCTTTCTTGAAATAATAGTTATAGTATGCCTTAAGTGTTTCAACATCTTGGCTCTTCCTCAAATCTAAATCTTCACCAGCCTTCTCCATCTTTTGAATGTTGTCTTCCTCTTTGAGCTTGACAAAAGGGACGCCTCCGTTGAAATTTTTTGGGTAAGGGTTCTTATCTATCTCTCTAACCTCAATTTGGGTGATTGGACCTTTTAAAATAGGATCCATTGTTTCTCGAAATAAAGAAATGTTCATCCATGAATTTTCTGTAAGTGTGTCTTACAGTGTACGGTTTGGATTTGGCCAAACCACTGCTTTTATCCTTTCATTTTCTTGTAGGTTTGTTCTCACTGCTCTCAATCTGCTCTTCTAGATCTTCTGATCTTCGGAGGTAATCATCTATGTCGATATCTTTGAACTCTTCATTAGTAAAGTTTTTGTTCTTGTTTTTAGCTTCGATATTTTTGTTGATGTTCTCGACACTCCTGTTGTATCAATTATTCCGAATATGCTCATTTTTGCTGAAATCAATCAAACCTTTTGGGAAGTAGGGGTTCTGTTGTAACAACTCATCCGTGTCTTTTACTGATATTCAGTACCGGCAGATTAGGCCATCCTTCTTGATCTCAAGGTTTCAATTCATTGTCCCGTTTGGAGAAAGGTAATATTCCTTTACTCCTGCACTGATGATTCAATTGGCCTGACTACAGTAAGCATGTCAGCTATATTTAAATCATGAATTTCATCTTAAGATTTGTCCTTCCTTTTTGCCACATATGTATCAAATTGCTTCGAAGTTCCCGATTTGCAAACTAATAAGGGTATTAGAGTCAATAATTATCCTTCTTAATCCAAACCCAGGGTCAATTCTAATTCCGGTGTTACTACCTCATCATATAGGATGGGCGTATGAATACTGTGACTTTGCCTTTGTTCTGAATTCTAAGACTTCAATTTGTAGCTTTAGTGCATCATCTGATTCCATTCAAATGATTCATTGATTAGCAACAGATCACAGATCACAAGCGATTCAAATCCCAGTTTGAACATTCTCTCCAGAGTAATAGAACAAGAACTGGAGTCATGGCAAATGTATGTAACCACTTCATTGAGAGCAAAGGAATTTAGATCTTACAATTTCATTTTTAATTTCCATCTGTCATACCATTCAAGCCTTGTTTTTCTCACTGATCTTATTATATCTCTCTGAAATTTCACCAATTCATTCAGAATTTGAAATCCCATCAATTTGTTCCATTAAACCTCACTGTCCCTTTCCAGTATAAATCATGTCTAAATTATAAGACACAAAAATTATCCATTAAATTCCTTTCTAGTGGTCTAAAACCCATAAAAAACCTCTTAAAATCCCTCAAAATGCCCTAAAATCCCTTCTAAAACTCAAAAAATTAAATTTTAATCATCTTCAATACCCACTTCCTCCATGAAATCCTTCTTATTCTTATCCATGCTCTCACTGACCATGCCTATCATTTCCATTCACGCCTTCTTCCTCTTCTTCCACTGCACTTCGTATTCTTTAGCTTTGACTTCAATTTTCTTCATGTCTTCTTCGCTTATGGTGTTTTTGGATTTTGACTGAAGATTTGTGAGTTTTTGGGTCAGTGAGGAATTTTGGGATTTTAGTGTGCTGAGTTGGGAATTTAAGGAATCGTTTGTGGGGGTTTGAGTGACTGATTTTAGCTCGAGAGTTAGCTCTTTGAGGGTGGTGTCGAGAGTGGTGAATTCGTCCTTCCGGACTTTGATCTGTTCGTCGAGTAGTTCGAGCTCAGAGGCGGAGGTTTCTGGGTAGATGTCTTGGTTTATGAGGTAGATTTTGGACTTTCCGTATTCTTTGAGGGTGATAATTTGGTCGTTTACTAGTTCGTCTCAGATTTTTTGAGTTTGGGTCTTCCTTATTCTACCACCAAGATTGTCAATCAGATTTTGGACACTGAAAGGACGGTTCTGTGCTTCCATATACTCAGCAATTGCCATTTTGGCTTCATCATCATCCAGCATAACCTTTTTCTCATATCCTCTTTTCTTAATTGAATTCATCTTTGAACCAGATTTAAGTGAAGTTTTAGGTGCAGATGTTGCAAGTGTGAACTCATTTGGATTATACGAACTTACATGAGTCTCCTCTGGTTCTTTCATTTGTTGTTGTTCTTCAGTTGGTGCTTTCGTTGATTCGTCCTTCTCGTTATTCTGCTCAACTTGCTCCTCTACCATCTTCTCATCTGTTTTCTCTTCTTGTTTGTCTTCTTCCTTAGTCTCAGCCTCAGCCTCTTCAGCTTGATCTGCATTCTCCTGATCATCGCCTTCTTCCTTTTCTTCGTCAGAGTCGTTTTTCTTTCCCTTCTTATGTTTCTTGCTCTTTTTAGATTTCTTGCTCTTCTTGCTTTTCTTAGACTTTTTGCTCTTTTTACTCTTCTTATCCTTTAGATCAACGATTTCCTCCTCATCAGGCATAGTTTCATCATTGGCGATCTCTGCATCACTCATTTTATTAAGCTAGGATTAAAGCGTGAATTTTGCCTCTTAAGGATATTTATTGTATGTTATTTCAATTTTTAACTAAAAAGCAGGGGTTTTGGGGTTTTGGGGTTTTGGGG